TCTAGTCCGACTTGTCTTAGAGCAGTGTTGGCCTAGTGACTTCAGCGTACGACTCTCATACCTGAGGTCGTAGGTTCGATCCCCGGCTGTGCACCAATGGACTTTCTTTCTATGTGCGCATTTAACGTTTGCTTGAACGGTGAAGGAAAACATCGTGAGGAAACCGACATGTCTTAGACCCAAAAAGTTGACGGCGTGTGTCAGGCACCGGAGGCTGATCACCTACTTGCCTATTACATTTAATAATGATCATGAAACAGATTAAAAAATCTGAGGCCAAGATCTAAAGAGGTTGTAGCGCCACTGATTTATTTTTTATAGTCCGACTTAGTAGACTTTCCACTACCACGAGATCGGTATCTACGCGAGTGAAACCGCGGGACATTGCTAGTATTTTATATTCTTAATAGGGCCATTACAGTCATAGGCTATCGATATTCCACACATTAAGTCCCCCCTTCCTATCAGTAAGCCCTTCTTTGACCGATGAATACCTAAGCATGATGAACTTTAATCAAATTACATTTAAATCAAAGGACTCCGGTAAGGTGCTTAATAAAATATCGTCGAAGTTCGTTAAAAATGTATTGACGTTCGATCTACACCCAGTGGGTATTAGCAAAGTGATGTTGCGTGAGCCTCCAAGCCCTCCGATCTCTTGTAATATTCAACACCATTAGTAATCAGTGTATGTAGTACATTTTTGTTCAAGTCTTTAAAATATATTGGTTCTACATTTAAAATTCTCTGGAAAATCTACGTCACTAATTTATTTTTAATTTTATAGAAGTTATAGAATTCTAAATTCAAATTCATGGAACTATTGGTTAGTAAAGAGGAAATGTGTGGAGTTAATTTGAAATCATTTTAAAATATACTTGATTAGAATTAAATGTAAATTAAGTAATAAATTTGTAAAAATTACAAGGCGCAATGTGTACAATACTATTTTAAGACTGTCTTCTATTTCGATGTGCTGTTGTACCCAATGGGAATGTAATGTTCGATCTCATACTTAAAGAAGAGAACTCACAATGGAAAAATTATAGACATAGTAAATCAAGAAGAAGAATGTCTTTCTTGTAAAAACTTAAGTCATTTAGAATTCCAAATTCAAAGCCAACGAGACATTTGGTTAGTAAAGATGACCAGTTGAAATGTGTAATAGATATTTTGAAACTTATTTAAAATAGTACGCTCAACATCCCACAAGAAAATGGGACAATTCATGACCAAAAAAAAATCAAATTATTTAAATGTATTATTATTTAAGTTATACTTCTTTTGCCTTGCCTTTAGGGAAAAATGATGAGAGTTAATAATAAATATTTACGATGCGCGCGCCCACCGCACCACACACCGTCACAAAAAACTGACACCACACACCGTCACAAAAAACCGATACCCTGAAGTTAGCATAGTAAACATTTTAAAATAAAAAATGTCAATTTCTTTAATTATGTAGAATGTATGATATTTAATTAAACTTTATTTAACTAGATAATGCGTTATAATAAAACTTTCAATGTATTAAATACCGTTTTTCTATTGTTAGTGTCGTTTTTTCTACAAAAAATAAGGCGAAAGATAAAAAATTTAAAAAGATTTTATCTTGTTACAAAGAAGTATAACTTTTAACGCCTGTACAGAAGCACACACAGGTTTTTTTATAAGTAGTCCTGTAGTATACGACTGAAACAATGCTGTGTGACTATTTTATAAAAAAGAGATGCTATAACAATTATAGTTTCGCCGATTAAATCCACGATATCCGTTCTGCGTTAAACAAAGGTTTAATTAGAAGTGTGCAAGTGACATAATTGCACTTTTGCCGTGCCAAAAAGTATACAAAAGTTCACTTAACGCAATAAAGTAGGCGTGACCACAACCGCTGTGCTCATGCAATTTTCAAGGCCGTAAATAATAAAACCGTGAACGCGATCCAAAGCACTTTGGCCACGTTTCCGCTGTTTTCTCACATATTGAAATACCTTGGATACGTGAGCGTTTTTCTAGACGCCACTTATACTTTTCAAGAATTCTTATGTTGCCAGTAAAAACCTTGGTCTAATGTATCAACTAAGTACGAAGGATTTTCATGAAAAATCACCGCTGTATTTGACAGCGTTTGAATCGTTTTGAGTTGAGTTCAATACAATAGAGGTTATCCAAGGCCTTTATACAATAAAGTTTTTATTCATAAGCACCCTTATTACCCAAACTCAAAATAACATTATTCATATAAGGTACACAGATACACTTATGAACGTCAACAGATAGATGATAAATTGATTCTTAATTCACATTTACTACCAGTGCGCGAGTCAAGCGGGCAAGAATGGCAAGAAACTCTCCACTCTTTTTGATCGTTTTGAGTCATACAAATTGTTTTGAACTGGAGCAAATCAATCCTAAGAATTACGATTATTTCAATATTCGTCAAAGAGAGCAGAGACCACAGACCACGACTAGCTACATGCCTCTTGTCTCTCTTAAGGTCATTTTTAATGTCACTCCAAAGTATGTGCCAAAAATTGATTTCCTTTGATGCTCTGTATAGCAAAAGTCTGGATAGAAATAGATTTTTAAAATAAAAAATTGGAGTTAGTACACCTTGGATATTAGAGTGTGATGGTCACGTTATGCCCTTCGTGACATTCATTTCTTTTCTTGATTCGATCTTATATCTATAATTTTCAAACTAATCAGATCTCTTTCTTAAGTTATTCAAAAAATTATTTATTCATATAGGTGACAAAATGTACATTTATGAACGTCAAAAAATTATATATATGAAATGCTTCTAAATTTACATTTACTGCCAGTTCTCAAATCAAGGGCGTAGAACGGAAGAGAAGAACTGGCAATAAACTCTCAGCCACTCTTTTTATTCACCAAGTTTTTTGTTTAACACAATGTTTGTAAGGAGCTGCAAGCACTACACCATGTTGCACATGACATCTTAAATAATTATGAGCAGAACAATAAAAAAAAATTAATTAAACATTCCCATTGTGTTGTAACCAACTGAACATCAAAAATAGAGTAATTAAAAAATAAAAGGCATTTAAAAACTACGTGAAAACTGTTCAAGTATCGTCCACTTTATGATTTTCATACACAACAAATATTTTGATACTATCACAAATTTATCCGTTAATTTATAATTTCTAATCAAGTCTATCTAATGGCCAGTCATTATTATCGTGGCAATGTGGCAAATATAACCCCAATTTTCAACAATTTAAATCTCAATTGTTTAATTCAAAATCCTCACAATTTTTTTATGAATTTGTATTCAAAAAACTGAGGGTACTTTGCTTATTAATTTTATAGAGGGTAAAACATAATTTTTACACGTCTGCTCGCCATGTTTGATTAAAGAGTGTTAAATGTGGCTTTGTATTGCTTCATAAGCCGCACTTGCAATTGTTTCGATTTACCAATGTTATTATTAATTACACCGTTGAGATTATTTGTATGTTGTGAACTTTTCGTGAACTATAAGGCACATTATTATCGGTGTAACGTTTACCTTTCTCTATACGTAAGACAATTATTGTGTACCTTACGTCTGAGTTAAATAAAATATATATTTATTAGATATATTATTATTGTTAATAGAAATTGGGGAATATTTGTAAAGACTATTAAACTCAAACTCAAAATATCTTTATTCATATAGGTAAACAAGTACACTTATGTATTGTCAGAAAGAAGTTAAATTAATTGTAAATTTACATTTACTACCAGTTCGCAAGTCAAGGGCGTAGAGCGTGTAAAAAGAACTGGCAAGAAACTTTCCGCCACTCTTTTTAATCGCCAAGTATTGAGTCATACAAATTGTTTAAACTGGAGAAAATCAATTCCAAGGATTAGGATCGTTTAAGTATTCCTCAAATTTATAAAAAGCATTATTGATTAATTTTCTTTTTTTTAATTTTATTATTTACGTAGGACGGATAATTTTCTCGATTTCCGACAATTTTTCTCGATTTTTTTTACTCAGGTTCGTGGAATTACAATTTAATAAACCTTATTTCAAAATAAACGGACATTACTTTTCTACAATATCGCTTGATGTTCATTTGTGAACGTTTTGAAAGATAGTAAACTAGTATGAGTTAGTAAAACAGAAGAAATAAATAAATGATATACGTGGATAGGAATGCAAGTGGTTTTGTTAACAAGCGTTCTGTCTGTTCGCAATATTAATAAGGTCGTACATAGTGTTCGTCTTGAGTTGAAGACACTACGGATTCGTATTAGTACTTATTGACATACTTCCGAAACTAGAAGGAATCTTCGAAACTATATAACTACTATAGTATATATATATTGTACCAATCGGGAATGCTATTTACTAGGCTATAAACAGATGTTGGTTCTAGTAATAGGTTACGTTAGTAAAAATATACGATTTACATACGAGATTAAGAAATCTTTTAATAATAATTTATTATTTTGATTATGGTACAAAAATATTATGGTGGTACAATCTAAACTCCGCATATCATGACATCATAAAATCTTTTGGAGCTGATACAATGTAAAAAAGATGGTTCTAGTAATAGGTTAGGTTAAAAAAAAGAGTGCGTGTACTTATGTACGCGCGTAAGAAGTTATACTTCTTTGGCATTATTAAAAATAGTTTTTGATGAAAGGAGGAAAGAAGGAAAAGGAGTCATTATAGTCAATAAAGTTCAGTTTACATTTGAAAAATTAAATAAATAAATATTTATTATTATTCTCTATCATTAAGTGTAACATAAATTCTATTATTATTCGAATGTTGTTTTTAAATTATGTCCAATGCCGTAGCATCTTCCGTGGGCAACTTCATTCTGTTAATTTTGTGTCACGGTGCGCGCGCATCGTAAAATTTCACTCTTATCAATTTTTCATAACGCGCCTAAAGAAGTATAACTTCAAAGGAAATCGTAGGGGGCCGTGATTTCAATGTCTGATCGCGTGGCGGGATGCAGACAAGGCTGTTACCGTGTCCTCGGGCTGGTGGGGTTTTAGTGGGTATGCACAGTAGCGAATCCCACATAACCCTCCACCATAAGGCATTTACCCACGAAAGAAAAAAAAGTAAAACAGAAGTCAAGCTACGTAGACAGTAGACATTGAAAGAAGACACGGGAAGTGAATTTCATATCCTGCGCAGACCGTTCATTTTAACCTTTTCTTCGGGACAAGGTTCGCAATTCAACGTAAAAAAATGTTTTTTATTAAAACAAATACACACTACTGGTAATTTAAATGGGAAAAGTGAAGAAGAAGTTCTTTAATATTACGATTGTCAACAGGTCCAGCCTTCTGGGGGCTCATCAACCCAGAATGGTCGCTGTGCAACAAAGGCCGCAGACAGTCTCCGGTAAACCTAGAACCGGAGAAGTTGCTCTTCGATCCCAACTTAAGATTTTTACATATAGATAAGCATAGGGTAAGACATTTTAATAATTAATTAAAAAAACAATTTTGTAAAGTCGACAATTCCAACATATTAATTACAAATTAAAATAAGCATTCTCCCTCGAGATTTGGTAACGATTTATGATTTCATGTTTTAATTTATAATACATAGCACTCAATTTCATAGTTAATAAATAATATATTCAAATATTATTATTAAACCTAAATTTATGTAAAATGTATGTTGCAAGTCATACTAATTAGTGTTTTCATTTTCATTTCTTTGATGTTTTAATGTTTTTTTCAAATTCGATGAATATTTCTTATAATATTACGAATATTTCTACTCCATGCGGAAACTATTGACAATAGATGAAAGTGATGTCCTACAGTTATATACATATCTACAAAAATTTGTTTGGCATTAAAAGTCAATTTACCGAGAAAAGCTCTAGGATATAGAACATCCTGCTACGACCGAATTAATTCGAGTGGAACCACAGCACAGCTAGTACAAAACAAAATCAATATATTCCTTTTGAACACATACAAAAGGAATATATAAACGAAAATAATTCAAAATCTGTCATTACGACATCGAAGGGACTACTCATATTTGGTCGTAAAAACCGATAGTCGTAACAGCCGATGACGTTGTTAAGTACCTAAAATACAATAGAATTCAGCCTGGACCTTTGATTTTGGTTAATATATATAATATTGTTAAATTAAAACTCTATTGCGTCGATGATAAAATCCTGAAATTTTCAGATAAATGGATTAATTAGCAACACGGGTCACTCGGTGATCTTCACAGTGGAAAATGAGACACGTCACCACATCAATATAACAGGTGGACCGCTCTCGTACAAGTATCAGTTTCACGAGATCCACATACATTACGGACTACACGATCAATTTGGTTCGGAACATGCCATTAATGGATATTCTTTCCCTGCTGAGGTAAGCAAATTATCCCATATCGATAATTCTGTTATTTGATAGCTTATTTCTGTGATAACAAAAGAAGCTATTTTGTGAGGCAGTTTCTCACATTAATTACTAAAGTAGTAAAGTAATGAATAAAAATATTATTTTACTAAATATGTTGCGATAATAGACGTTTTTAACTCGTAAAGCGAATAAATAGTTTGGCTTTTTAAGTAAAAAGCTATTGAAGTATGTCGTTTAGTGAGTTATGGTAACAATAATTGTTGAGTTTACATGGTTTTTTGTTGTTGTGTAGTATATGTCAAAGTGTAGAACATAGTTTACAAAAACAAGCAAACTATTGTTTATATTATACAATGGATTGTATTAATGTAACTAAAAATAAATGATACTTTAAAAATATAATTATAAATGTTTACATATATTTTTTCTTGAACTAAAAGGAACTAAAAGGTTAAGTCAAAGTCAAACTCATCAGTCAAAATCATTTATTTCAATAAAGAAAATTACAAATTAAAATGATTAAAAAGTGACTATCCTTCCTAAAGGCAGTTTCATATGGAGAATAATGGGCATGAAACTCCATGCTTACTCTTTTAAAATAGTTTTTACAATATTTTGTATATATTGATTTGATAATTATTTGTGAAGACCATGTACCTAGAACAAAAAAATGTACTACACTAAAATAAAATTGGTGCATGGTGTTTTAAAAAACAATGCATAAAATAATTATAATATATTAATATGTCATATTTCAAAAAACAAAGCAAATTTAAAGCTATATAACTAGTATAGCAACCAGTTGATTTTGTCTAGTTTGATTGTCCTATGGAACAGGATATATAGTAACAAAGAATAACATTCTTAGTTTGATTAATGCAGTTGATTAAATGCAAAACGATTTTGAATTCATAATCAATAAATCAAAATCAAATCTATCTATCTTTCAGACCCCTAAGTAATAACGGTGTTCACCCCAAAAATATTGTTTTTATTTTTTTATCATACAACATACAAAAATACATACAACCCCCAATTTTCATTCCTCTACAAACAACCCCTATTTTTTAATATAGTAGATAGTTATTTTTATTGAACTAAAAAAAGTTTTCCTAGAAATAATACGCATGGCAAAACAAGGTTTGGCGGGTCAGCGAGTATATATCTATCTAAATGCTAGTAGGCTGGCTCCATAATATAAGGTCATTCACGGTTCGGTCGCGGTCCGATCTCGGTCTGGAATTATTAAATGAAAAATGATGTGTGCATTACTCAGTCAAGCTCTGGTCATATATACGAATAGTATTCACCAGACCGATAACTAACTTTGAACGGCATTATAATGCCAGCCTTAACATAAAGACTGATTTGTTTCTGTAACGAATCGAACTGATTTCAAATTCACCTGTAAATATTTATTTCCATATTTTGATAAATAAAAAAATCAGTGGCGCTTCAATCGTAGGTTTGAGCAGATTACTGTATCTGTTTAATGATCATTTGTTAATCTAATAGACGAGTAGGTGATCAGCCTCCTGTGCCTGACACACGCCGACAACTTGTTGAGTCTAAGGCAAGCCTCGCGATGTTTTCCTTCACCGTTCGAGCGAACGTTAATTGCGCACATATATAGAAAGGGCATTGGTGCACAGCCGGGGATCGAAGCTACGATCTCAGGGATTAGAGTCGCACGCTAAAGCCACTAGGCCAACACTGCTCACAATATACCTTGCATAAAATATTTAAAATAAACAAGATTAATTAACGGAAGGAAAGTATTAAACAGAAACATGAGCTGCGAGCGAGCTAATTAGCACTAGCGTATCTCAGTTTCGTCAGGTTACGCCTGGTAAACACTTGGATTGATGCGCCCTAATTGATTGCAGACTTGCTAACATTTGTACCAGGAATTATTCTAGATTATCGATCTGTTAACCTATGTATACTTGCCTATTAGATTGGCAAATGATCATGAAACAGATACAGAAATCTGGGGCCCAGACCTAAAAATGTAGCGCCACTGATTTATTTACTTTTTTATATTGTTAGTAGAATCGTAGATTATCATAAATCAATTGATTAATTCCTTAATCTACTAGAGTTAATCTTTCGTCTGTTTCTGTCATATTGTGTTTAAACTGTGTTGAAAAAGAACGAAGCAATTGCAATTAAACTTATTTCGTTTTTATAAGACTTAATTGATAAATTAAATGAGTTATTTTATAAATATATCATTAACAATAATCTTAACCCACATAGTAATAATAATAATTGTTAAATGGAAAATTAAAACAAATACAGTTTAGTCCCTGTGGCAGTCCCTTTAAGCTGGCAAGAATCGTTGTATTGCGATATCTATTCATTGAACAAGAAAGCACCAGCTCTCGGGACACGTGTTCTATCTAACAGGCGTTCTAAATATTTTATAAATTATTTAAAACCTTTCCTCATAAACTAAGAGTACGTATCCATCCAATCCATCCGAAAACGTAACCAAAACGAAGCATTAAAAAGCCATCTTGTTAAAATGAAACATTAAATCAAACACCCTAAGCCACAAATAAACAGCCAATATGTTGGAATTTCGTCGCGGATTCCTTTAAGTTCAAAAGAAGTGACAGATGTTTTACACGCATGGGCCCGTACCCGACGTAATCCCAACAAACGACTTCGGGCTAACTGAAGCATACTGTTTATTTGGCAAATACCTCCTGAGTCACGTTAAACCAGTGATGTTCCATTACAGTAGCAAGAATACAGTATAAATTTCTCATCTACTGTATTATTCTTTTTATTAATAATAGTCTACTCCCCTGGCCTTGTGTCCAGGGACTTTTTCTATCTCTCAAATTTTTCCAAAAACCAAGATACATTATATTAATTCCAACGCGTAATCGCTTCTTTGAGCCCTCAATGAGCGAAAATATATCTAAGCATAGATTAAATGCCGACGATAGTATCAAAACTTTTTAATATTTAGAGTAAGACTATAATCGAGTAGATACTATATATTTTTTTATACTTGTGTCTTCACTGAGATCATGGAACATTACAATCTAGCCTAGCTTAAGACTAATAAGTAATTTAAGTCTAACTTAATTCACTAATGGATATTTAACATAAGAAACTTACAAGCTCTATTCAGAAGAAGACACCCTGTTTTTGTGTTATATTATTATTTTATCACTAAGTTGTTTAGTACTTAAGACTAACGTACACTAACACAAATTCGATAATTCAAATGGTTTTGAGTAGATACAACATGAATTTTAAATTCAATTAAACTAGATGACGGTAAATTCGTATCACCTATATATTTGTCAAAACTTAGTACATTTTTTTATAACCGACCAAAGAGATTGGACCTCACTATAGTAACAAAACAGAAATTTAATGGCATAAATATGACAATTTTTTATTTCTAAAAACACAAAAGACATCAATGTTTCCCAGTTAGGAACCGTTTTTATTGGAAAATTCTTGTTGTTGATATTGTTGTTTTTAGTATTTTTCGTATTTATTATTTATGTTTCCCCGTTTAAACCTTCCCTGAACCCCCACAAATATTTCAACATTATAATTAGCCAAATCTGTCCAGCTATTCTCAAGTAACAGGACAAACGAACAGTAATTTATTTTATATAAATAGATATAAAACACAAAAATACAAAATCTTAAAAATTAATACTTATGTGACAATTACGAAACTTCAACATGTAAATAACATAATATATTTATACGTTTTTGTTCTTGTCGATTATTGTATTTATTTAATCACCCAATAATAACATTAAGTCGACTTTAATTATAATATAGGTAGTCATAAAGTTTTGTTAGAATTAAAAATATTAATAAGTAATAATAAATAAATAAAAAAGGGTGCGTGTACTTATGTACCCGCGTAAGAAGTTATACTTCTTTGGCATTATTAAAAATAGTTTTAGTTTGCATGCAAATAATTAATTACAATTAAATAATCAAAGACTGGAAAAGGAGTCATTATAGTCAATAAAGTTCAGTTTACATTTGAAAAATTAAATAAATAAATATTTATTATTATTCTCTTACATTAAGTGTAACATAAATTCAAATGTCCAATGCCGTAGCATCTTCCGTGGGCAACTTCATTCTGTTAATTTTGTGTCACGGTGCACGCGTATCGTAAAATTTCCCTGTCATCAATTTTTCATAACGCGCCTAAAGAAGTATAACTTCAAAAACTCAGTCAAAAACAATTTCGACAGTTCTTTTGCAAAAAAAATCTACTGTATTTATCAACACGACAGTAATCTACTGTACGTCCTAAAATCATATAACTTCGTTCCCAACACAATTTAACTTCTTAAATTTCCTCATAACAACCTTTGTTAAATGGCTTCAAAATACGATTTTTAACATTCAAGATTTTCTTTTGTTACAGATTCAAATATTTGGTTTCAATTCGCAGCTGTATTCAAACTTTTCGGAGGCTTTACACAAAGCTCAGGGGATTGTTTCGATTTCTTTACTCTTACAGGTGAGTATTGTATTGGAAAAAATATGCTCATTTTTACGTTTTTGTTAAGCGTATTGTAAGGTGTAAGGTAATACTAAAACGGAGGGTAAATTTATTTGACAGTTTTTAAATATCACTGTTTTATATTGTTTTTTATAAAAAAGTGGGCAAACGGGCAGCATCTGATTTAAAGTGATATGTGATGGACACTCTCAATACCAGAGGGCTGGCGAATGCGTTGCCGGCCTTTTAAGAATCGGTACGCTCTTTCCTTGAAGGAATCTAAGTCGAATTGGTTCGGAAATACTTCAGTGGGCAGCTGGTTCCACATAGTTTTGGTGCGCGGCAAAACTGCCTTAAAAAACGCACTATCCCCTACCCTCTACGATGAACCCTTATTTTTTATTTGTTAGTTAAGAACTTATAACTTGAACTCTGAGGTTTATATAGAGAAAAATCACATAAAAACCTAAAAAGTTTTCATTCCGAAAAACTAAACAGTCTCTGGGGTATTATAGCAAAATGTTCCATGTTGGTATGTACTAAAAAGGTAGGCTAAGTAAAGTCACATCAAGTAGAAACGAAGTTCGCGGGGCAGTTACTATACTATAATATGATAAGTTGTTTTTATGTATGTCTTAGTAGCAAGGCACGCACAAAATTGATCGTGAATCAGCACTTTAAAATTTGCATACCTAATTGTAAACACAACGAGACTGAATTTTGTTTTATACTAGAGATAGGAGGTGAGTTATCGATATCGTGTTATCAACGATGCCGCACCTTTCATAGCATCCACCCCAAACTAGTTAATTAAGGAAATTGGAATTTTCTGTGCGCCATTGGATTAGCCGCCGATGCTATTACTTCAAATTAACAACTGTCTGAAATACGAAAGAAAAATGTTTACGTCTGATTCAAATCTAATAAATTAAAACAGCGGTTCTGTATTTTGTAACAGATTTAATATTCTTCATTTAAAAATTATTCTATCTCTTTATCTAACCCGCTTGAAACTCGTTTTTGAGTACTGAATTTTATAACTAAACTACCACAAATATCGAAATAAGTTATTGAATATCGTTAAACGATAAAAATAATTGCGATTCTTCACCTCAAAGTCGTGTGTTCGAAGTAGGGGGAACACGATTTTCTTTCTATCAAAAAGTCAAAAGTCAAAAATCATTTATTCAAGTAGGTAACACAATGTACACTTATGAACGTCAAAAAAGAAGTATACATTAAATGCGTCTAATTTTACATTTACTGCCAGTTTGAGAATCAAGGGCGTAGAACGGAAGAGAAGAACTGGCAATAAACTCTCCGCCACTCTTTTTAATCGCCAAGTTTTTTGTTTTACACAACGTTTGTAAGGATCTGCAACCATTACACCATGTTCCACATGACATCCTTAGTAATAAAAAATAAATTAAATTAACATTAATTTCGGTATTAACATTAAGGAAAATCGCCCATTTTTTAACCACCACAAATATTGATATAGGTTATTGATTAATATCGTTACACGATAAAAATAGTTGCGATTCTTCACTTCATGGTCGTGTGTTCGAAGTAGGGTGAACACGATTTTTTCTTTCTATGACTAATTATACTAGGAAATCAAATGTCTTAGGGTAAGATTCATAAAAAAAACAAATTGTTTGGACATACGGAAGTCACCTTAGAAATAAGCAGTCCTGGGCACTAACTTAGTAATAAAATATATAATTAATACATCACGAGGGTCTTGGCCAGTGGCTTCAGCGTGCGACTCTCATCCCTGAGGTCTTAGGTTCGATCCCCGGCTGTGCACCAATGGACTTGTCTATGCGCGCAATTAACATTCACTCGATCGGTGAAGGAAAACATCATGAGGAAACCGGAAATCGTGAGAAAATCACAGGAGGCTGGCAGGATTGGCAAATGATCATGAAACAGATACAGAAATCTGAGGCTCAGACCTAAAAATTTTGTAGCGCCACTGATTTATTAATTTATTTTTATTAATATATCAAACTTAGCCGATACAAAACTCATTTCCAGAATCGTTTGCAAACTTCTGTGCATTTACACAAATTTTAGTACAACTATAGAAATGGTAATTGTTTAGCACGCTGTTAGGAATACCTGAATTTAAACAACGACACAGCTTTAGTAGAAAGTTTGTTAGTTTATGTTGCATCTTACATGCAACCTATATTTTCTTAACTATGTTAACAAGGTTTAAATTCGTAATGACAAAGTTTCTTAGAATATCATAATTCAAAATCATTTATTCATATAGGTAACACAATGTACTAGACTTATGAACGTCAAAAAAAATTAAAGCTTCTAATTTTACATTTACTGCCAGTTCGAGAATCAAGGGCGTAGAATGGAAGAGAAGAACTGGCAATAAACTCTCCGCCACTCTTTTCAATCGCCAAGTTTTGGTTTTGCACAACGTTTGTAAGGAGCTGCAACCTTTACACCATGTTTCACATGACATCTTAAGTAATAAATAATAATAAAATAAATTTAAAACAAAGAGAGAGAGAGAGAAAAATTATAGAGTCAGCTAAGTTATTAAAATTTATGTTAAAATCGATTAATATTTCTTTAGATTAATTTGCGTTGACTTCATGCGTAGGTTTTTAAAATATATTAATGGTATACGACGTCTATATTTGATATTTTGATAACTTTTATTTATAAATAAAAAGGTGTTCATAATCAATGGCTATACAGCCCCTTGTGGGGCTTAGCCTATTTAATGATGGCTGGCCATGCGTCATACTCGTGACGGGTGCTACTTGAGGTGACTGGTCGGACTTGAATTCGTGTATGCGGTGATGTTAGTTATTCTACTATGTGTTTTTGCGTGTTGTTCCGACGAGATTGTAAGTGTGTGCTCCTATTTCACCATGCCTACTGCTGATAGAGGACAAATCTGTGCTTTTTTTCGTTTATATATTTTTTTTGTTATTATAGTTAATTACTTAAAGATGTCATGTGGAACCTAGTGTAATGGTTGCAGCTCCTTACAAACATTTTGTAAAACAAAAACTGCGTTTCATAAGATTGGCGGAGAGTTTATTGCCAGTTCTTTTCGTCCCTTCTACGCCCTTGATTTGAGAACTGGCAGTAAAATGTAAAATTAGAAGCATTTAATATTTCTTAAATATTTCTTTGTTGACGTTCGTACATTGTGTTACTTAAATTAATACATGATTTTGAATTTGAATTTAAATGCTTCTTGCATCCAACTTCGAGGTCCTTCTCTTGCCATCAGGTTGTGAGTGTAATAAAGGTGTTCAACCTATAAATAAAACAGAGATCCAAAGACGAATACTCTTTAGGAGCCTGTCCGTATTTTAATAGGAACACAATCATGTATTTTATTTTCATAGACTGGATTTAAACTTACTGAAGTGATGGAGTTGAAAGTTGAAGTAGGTGCCGTGTTGGCTTAGTGCCTTCAGCGTGCGACTCTCATTCCTGAGGTCGTAGGTTTGATCCCCGGCTGTGCACCAATGGACCTTCTATCTATGTGCGCGTTTAACATTCACTCGAACGGTGAAGGAAAACATCGTGTGGTAACCAACTTGCCTGAGACCCAAAAATTCGACGGCGTGTGTCAGACAAATGACTTATCTGACTGATCACCTACTTGCCAATTATATTAACAAATGATCATGAAAAAGATACAGAAATCTGAGGCCCAGACCTAAAAAGGTTGTAGCGCCATTATTTTTTATTTATTTAAGTTAGTTTTAGTAACGTTTTACGTTAGTAAAATTTAAAAAGAAACAAAGCTAAGGACGAAGGTATGTTTCGCACCCAATAAGGGAAAATTTTCGCCGTTTTTTGGTTCGACAACTTTATATTTTCACGTTTGATTTGTTTTCTTTTGGATTCAATTGACAGTAATTGAATCGGAAAGGTGTTATTAGTGCCACCATATTTCGTATATAAAACGTAAACGTAGGTACTTACAGCTACTAACCGCGCTATTCTCAGTAAGTAAAAGAAAAGTATTATCAAAGCAACACTAAAAAAAATGTGAGCCGTCACGGGACGCCTACCAGATGTGAAACATCGACATTATTTTGTAAAAGTAATATACAGAAAATAACAGATTGTGATAGGAACTAAATATGTCATAATGATAAAATAAAATATTACGATTTTTTTCCAGATAACGATGACTATTTATTGAATAAACATTTATTTTCACTAAATATAAAAATTTACGAATTTATTTCAAATCGTGACTACTTAATTCGTTTAATCAGTGACTTCGAAATATACACACCGTACATACTGCTACTGCATACGTACTGCATATAGACTGTATATATATATACCATCATATAGCGTGGCGCGTCGCCACGGCATGCGTCGCCACGCCAAAAATCGGTTTTACGTGCGGCTTTAGATGTTTCACATCAAAAATTGTAGAAAATCTAATGTAAAACACAATAACTGTTTCAACAAGGCTATCTTAAAGTCGATATAATAAATAGAAATCATAGACAAGCAAATAGATGACATAAATCATCAAAGACTTTCCGATCGGCTTGATTAGCGTTGCGTAGTGAACACTAAAAACATTGTGTAAAAATTTGTGTATTTGAATTTGGTTAGTTAAACAAAATAGCTGTTTCAACAAAACTATTATTTTCAATATACTATAGAATAAATAGAAATCATAGACACGCAAATAAATAGATGACATAAATCATCAAAGACTTTCCGATCGGCTTGATTAGCGTTGTGTAGTGAACACTAAAAAATTATGTAAAAATTAGTGTATTTGAATTTGGTTAGTAAAATACAACAGATGTTCCAACAAGGCTATTTTCAATAGACTAAAAAATAAATAGAAATCATAGACAAGCCCATAGACGACATAAATCATCACAGACTTTCCGAGCGGCTTGATTCCTTAGCGTTGCTATAGATTTGTGGCCTCTCTGCGTCTTCTACCACATTTACCACGGAGAGCATTCAAAGGAATTGTTCGGATTAATACCTGCAGCTGAGTTTCATCATCGGTAGTCAAGGCAGAATACAAAATACCATCCGTATCACCACAACGTCCGTCGTTCAACAACTGAGGGTTTTGTAAGGCAGTTTTTACCGCGCACCACTACTATGTGGAACCAGCTGCCTACTGAAGTATTTCCGAAGAAATTTGACTTGGGGTCTATCAAGAAAAGAGCGTACCGATTCTTAAATGGCCAACAACGCACATGCGAGCCTTCTGGCAATGTGCGGGGGACAAAAAAAATGAATGAATACAGATATTAATTAAAGTTTGAGTGTTACAAAAATGCAATAGATGGCGTTATTATTGAAGCATATTTTGATATTCTATCTATTTAGTAGTTATAGGACATAGGTTGGATAAATAACCCGTGGGCACTATTTCTTGATGAATCAGCTTACATAAAGAGCTATTCGATCGTTTTACGATCTAATGCGGGTAGTTTCAATGTTGTCTCGGGCTGTGTACATATATCGCCAGCTTGCAAAGTCAAACGTGGTTAGCAAATTTCTCCGATACCTACCTATTATTTATTACTGGTGTAAGTTTTGCATAGAATTAATAAAGCTGCATAGCCAATTTTGAATTGGAGATAGAAGTTGGGGCTCTGATATTCTGCAAATTGTTACGGGTTGCATCTGTAATGCGTATACAAAAGTGTGCTATAAACTGTCAGAATTGTAGAAAAAGAAACGCTGAATTCGTTTCTATAACGAAATTAGTGGGGGTCGTCAAATTTTAAATATTTTTCCATTTCTTTCTGTCTTGAGCCACGTATTACGTCATCTGACCATCTTTTCTTTTGTCGTCCATCACTTTCCAGTAGGTCCAGTCCATATTGTTGTTTCAAGTGACCATCTTCTATCCCGCACTTTAGAAATATGAACCCCACGCTTAGAACTAAGCTAGCAGTCAATGTAAATTAATAATTGTTTTCACTCGACGTTACAACATAGGAAATCAAACATAAAACTAGAAATGACAATTTTTTCTATATAAGGGGAGCATTATTTGATATTGATTTGTGTTTTATACGGGCCATATAGGCCAGATTTCGTGTATGTGTCTCGAATGAAAAAAAAACTTATATTTTTATACTAATCTGATTTTGAACAGACGATTAAATTAAATTTTTATTTTTAGCTTGGAGACTTATCAAATCCAGAGCTAAGAGTGTTAACGGAGGAATTGGAAAATATCAAATATGGAGGTAAGGTTTATATATTTCATACCTATTTTTAACCTTCGATAAAAATATCTGCGCTTTTTCATTTTATGTGACAAATTCTTTAACGAATACCGTTATTAATAAAATTATAGGTTAAATTTAATTATATTATTTAAATTAAATATATTGTCTATTAATGAACTTACTCAGTTTCTGTTTCATATATATTGTTTATCTATGTAATCTGTTTGGGCTTTCTATATTGTCATAAGTGTTTTGTTTCATAATATATATGTTAGCTATAAGATTACTAATAATTAAATAAATAAATTGGCCGTACTGTACTTATTAATTAGTAAGCCAAAGATAGAAAACTGTATTTTGAACTTATTGGTATTAAAGCGGTGATGTGCAGATTACATTCCATTTACAGTGCAATGTCCACAGATTACGGCAAAATATGGTAATAAGCCACTCTACTCTGTACTCCATATATTTGTAATAAATAACTAATACAGAGTATATAATACGCACACACACATATACTCAAACATTCACGCATACTTTTGTTTGATTAGATGTAACACTAAGTGTACTTTTTCTTTAAAAAATTGTTTTAAACAAGCACCATGTACGACACAATAATTGTAATCTAGTTACCCATAAGGGGCTCCACAGTGTGGGGACTAGCGTTAGATCAATATTGTCAGAACCATATTTCTGTCGTGTACCAAGTTTTATTACTAAAGTAAATTTACAGGTGCTGAAATGCCAGTGAATCGTCTCTCGGTACGTGGACTGCTTCCTGATACGGACTATTATATGACGTACGATGGTTCAACCACCGCGCCTGCGTGCTACGAAACTGTCACATGGGTTGTTATTAACAAACCAATTTACATAACAAAGCAACAGGTGAGATAAAAATATTCATTACATAAACATTCACTTACACGCACTCCTCCGGCTCTGCGACCCAAAAAGTGTATTGGCCGACGCAACGAGAAACTTAGACATAGACTTAAACCTCCCGCCAATCGTTGGCCTACAGCTGCAGCAGGTCCTCCTGCTCTCTGTCGATCCAGTTGTCGGCTGACGAACAATTATAAAAAAACATCTATCAAAAGACAATATGTATCAACAACCCTACCCTCATTATTCTATAACGCAATGATTATTGTGACAATAATCACTGTCTTTCTATACCCTGCGCCAGTACTCTGTAGCCTCCAATATAGATCGCGATTACGATCTTTGATTTTGAGTTTTGTACCACGCTTTCAGCGACATCAGCGCTACGTATTTTAAGAGAATTAAACCGAAATTGCATACAAAAACGTCGGGTTCAGAGTAACAACGCAGAAACGTGCGTCTATATTATAAATCCTTAAATGAAGATGTTAGACGTTATGGAACACCATACCAATCGTTAATAGTACTTCTGATCACTTAGAGGTTGGAAAGATAGATAGTAGATTCTCCGACTTACTGAATGTGCATACAAAATTTCATAAGAATCGATCGAGCCGTTTCGGAGGAGTATGGGAACGACCATTATGACACGAGAATTTTATATATTAGATTATTATGCACAGCTTAGTTAAAGTATATTCTTGAATTGTACTTACCTATATATATACATTTAGTTTTAAATACAGATAAATGTCACTGTGTGTGTGTGTGTTCACTACGTGACTAGTCTGAACTTTCAGGGCTGCTAGACGTTATGTCCGCATGTTGTAGGGACGGCACCACTTTTCATATTGTATGTACGTTCATTTGTTTGTTTGTATCATGCGATTGTTCTAATTTTGTGGTCCAAATAAATTACCATACAATAATCTTGTGTTACAAATCTTAAAGATGTCTTCGCTGTACAAGTCCCTCTACTGTCCCTCCCTGTTTCTATTTTATTAACTTCCACATTAGCATCTATTAATGTCGTTATCCAGCTCTTATCTCTCACCTTGTGATATCGTCAAGTTGTTTATTCATCTACTTGCCAAGAACTTACCAACTGATGTAGTTTTCAATTACTTTGAGATTTCTGAGTTTCAAAAGATTATATTTGATTGGATCTTTTAGTATTAAAAATTAAAGTTTCAACAAGAATTATTAGGAATACTTGTGGTATATTACGAATAATAAATTGTTATGGACAAATTAAATAAACTGCCTTTCATGTATTTCATAAATTTTCAGAATTAATATAATGCAATGAAAAATATATGGATAAGTTTAAATTATAATTTGTAGTTATAACCTCGTAGAACCACCATTAAAACTGTTTCATGAAACCTATTGAAACATCAAAATGGCTTGAAAATTTAAACGTCAAGCGTAACACTTAACCGCACTGCGGTTAAACCGCTACAGTTGTGCGATAACTGCGAATCAAACAATGTTAGAATGAGTCTCCTGTCACTCTGTAGATGTATGTCAAAACTGACAAGTTTTATAGAGAAAAGTTAGATTTGAGTTATGAATAATACATTAAAGCAAAATTCATACATTTCCGTGTTTTAAGAATACTCTAATCGAGACAAGAATTTTAAATTTTCATGAAAAAGAAAGTAATTATAAATAAGCAATTTAATATAGTATGCATAATACATAAGTTCGTCTGAGGGTCCTTCAAGAACAGAGCGTACCAATTCTTAAAAGGCCGGCAACGCAATCCCAAGCCCTCTGCCAATGAAAGTGTCAATGGGTGGTATCACTTAACATCACGTGAGCCTCCTATGCGTTTGCCCTTTATTCTATAAAAAGGTACATAACAAACTATATTGAATAAGGCACAAAGGTTTCCATGGATTTATTTGTATTAAATATAATAAGAACACTATTGTAGGCTCATGAATTAATATGGAAACACGAGGTCTCTTTTCTGTTTGACCAATCAAACAGCGAATATCCATAGCCAGGCTAGACTAACATGATAAGAAAAATCTAATATTAAAAACAGGCAGCACGAAAAAAATAAAAAAAATAATGAAGAGTCAATTTGTATTGCAATTTTATTTTTCATTTCATTAATAAAACGTTACGTTTCCAAAGCGGTTTGCGGTTAAGCGCTTAACCGTTTGTGCTAAAAATCCTTTGCCCTTAACTCAAAATTCACTGCTACAAACGGTGCTTTAAATTATACTGAAAAGTCGTTCAAAGCTCACGTGAGCGTGAGCCTACCGGTAATATTCATAAACAAGAACTCAGTTAATTTTAAATTAAGAATAGCACTGCTCATATAAACACGCTAATTTAAAATTGCAAATTTCTCAAGGGTGTTTTAAATCTGAACAATTTTTATGTAACCATAAAACAGTTGTACAGTTGTTTTTAAATACACAAATGAAATCGCTTTGTTCATAGTCCCCAACGTGAAACAAATATGCCTGCTTTATTGATTCTATTTATTTAGATAGCAGGAGGCTCACCTGCCGTTAAGTGATACCGCCACCCTTGGACACTCTGAATGCCAGAAAGCTCGCGAGTGCGTTGGCGGCCTTTTAAGAATGGGTATGCTCTTTTCTTGAAGGACCCTAAGGCGAATTGGTCGGAAATACTTCAGTGGGCAGCTGGTTCCACGTAGTGATGGTGCGCGGCTAAAACTACCTTAAAAACGCACAGTTGTGGAACGACGGACGTCGAGGTGATACGGGTTTTAATTAGAAGGTTTAGAGACTTACCTAACTATAAGAGAAAGAGAATGCATCAGTGTGGGTGTGTATTTGTGTGTCTGTGTGTGTAACTGAAGCATGTGTGTAAAAATATTGATTAGTGGTTTAAGGATATCTTTTTTGAAATAGGGGAATTAAATTGAATATGCGTAGTGTTGAAAAAAGTTGCAGTGGGGTATTTTTAATCCGTGTTGGTTATAAGGTCATTCTACTTTTCACCAAGAATCGTACCCAGGACTTGATATCCAGCTGTTAAGCAGCTTTTGATGGGTCAAATCAAATTTATTAAATACGCAATACTTAAATGTTCGATGAATCACAATATATTGATATTTATGTCGATACAAAACAACAGTCACAAAGAATACATTTGACCTTTAAAATAAGAGTTTAAAAGGTCGGCTACGCACTTGTAAGCCAACTGGCATTATCACTTAATATCAGTTGAGCATACGCAATACGCATGTATAAAAACATTTTGAATTATAAAATAGCTTCTCTATAGTAGTTGTGTACAGAGTATCTTGAAAGGACCCGTTTTAAAAGATTAATTCGACTAGTGTTTGCGTGTTGTTCCCACGAGAATATAAGTGCGTGCTCCTATTTCACCATGCCTCCTGCTGATAGAGGACAAATCGTTGTTTTTAATTTATTTTATTATTATTTATTACTTAAGATGTCATGTAGAACATGGTGTAATGGTTGCAGATGCTTACAAACGTTGTGTAAAACAAAAAACTTGGCGATTAAAACGAATGGCGGAGAGTTTATTGCCAGTTCTTCTCTTCCATTCTACGCTCTTGATTTGAGAACTGGCAGTAAATGTAAAATTAGAAGCATTTAATGTATATTTCTTTTCTGACGTTCATTGTGTACCTATATGAATAAATGATTTTGACTTTGACTAATGCGCTGCGTCTGTAGTTAAATTTTTAATACTATTAACAGCGTTAATGGATTAGCTGTAAAATTAGATTGAAATAGGACGCTATATCTTCAAGCTCGTTCTCAAAAGGCTTTTATCAGATCGTACCAGACAAGATATAGAGATGCAAAGAGCGTTCCCCTCGCGGTCGCATCCAGGGCGTGTTTGTGAACTGAGCAGTGCCTGTAAATTTAGTATTACGGTAAATTACGGAAAAAATTGGATGACTGTTGTATTTTTAATGCAAAGCCATAATAATGTGATTATGAATACGGGAAATAGTAGCAGTGGACCTGTTTCCAGACCTGGACCACAAAACAAAAAAGGGCGAAACAAACGTTTATTCTTTTGTTTTAATTCTCATCTTTCAGGCCATTTCAGTCTAGTATTAATACAGTAGCAATAGAATTGTTAAAGATATCGATTTTTTTCGAATAACAGTTGAGACTGGATATCTGTTGGCTTTTATTATAAAAAAATTATGTACATTTGAATCACATTCTTCTATTTTTTACTGACAATGAAGACACCGAAAACCATTTTTTATTTACAGCGGAATTCAAAACCTGAAGTTATAACATAGACTTTGACTCTATATATATATATATCAATGGCGCTACAACCTTTTCAGTCTGTGCGTCAGATTTCTGTATCTGCTCCGTGTCAACCAGTGTCAGTTTTCTCACTAGTCACTATATTTTTCTCCACCGTATAAGCGAGTGTTCTTAAGGGCGGGTAGCGGGTATCCATAAATATAAATAATTAATACAAACGATAAACCCCAAATTAAATCTGATAATCGAGTTGTGTTATTTGAGAACTACATTGTCAAATATTATCAAGCAGAAAAAAGTGCTTAAAAAGGGCACATAAACAATAAGTTTATAAAGCCGGGGATTGAACCTACGATCCCAGAGATGACAGTCGCACGTTAAAACTACTAGGACAACTGCTCATAATATATAGTTTTACTAGCTGACCACCATGTATATCATTTATAATAAAAAATAGGGGTTGATCCTAGAGGGGTGCAAATTAGGGGTTGTATGTATTTTTTAATGTTGTATCATAAAAAAATAGAAATTAAAAATTTTGTCTAAAAAATAAAAATAAAAATTTAGGGTTGTACTACCCCTAACATTTAGGGGGATGAAAAATAGATGTTGGCCGATTCTCATAGATACCGGATAAGCACAAAAAATTTCATCAAAATCGGTCAAGCCGTTTCAGAGGAGTATGGCAACGAAAACTGTGACACGAGAATTTTATATATTAGATTTAAAAATCCAAAATATATCATAAGACCCAATCTACATTAGATGGCCTTAAGTCATGGTTTGAGGCCGTTTTGTTGTAACAATAAACTCCTCGCGTCCCTTAGACAAAGACTCCGTGAATTATCTACGTGTTAAAAGTTAAAGTGGCGTTGTATGGTTGGTAATATAAATCATTGTTTATGTTTTCCGTTTGTTGTGGAAATTAAGTGCTAGTAAAGTTTTTAAACCGCTTCGTTGCTTCTCTGTTTGTTTCGATCCGTTCGTTCCTGTTGGGTTAGATTTTTGAAAAACTATTTTGAAGAGTTCGCTTAACCCTTTTTAAGAGTTCGGCTGTAATTTCGATAATTAAACAAATAAAACTAACAGGATTGATTACCCACATGTTGACAGGTCACGGTGGACTCTTGTGGTATCTTTACAGGTTCAGGGTTAGACAAAGTGCTGCCTGTCCTTTTTTATATTTCTTTAGAATTTACTTGGACCACAAAATTAGGACAAACACATGTTATAAATTGACATACATACAAAAATATAAAAAGCGGTGCCGTCCTTATAACATGTGGACACGACCAGCGAAATCAAGTAGATACAATAAATAGTGTTAATACAAACAACCATAAAACTAAACATTAAAAATAAAAACTATAAAAAGAATTAAACTATTTAAACCAAGAAAAGAAATTATCGGTACTGTGTCCTTGTTCTATTCTTAGCTGAGGGCAGAGAACCGTGAAATATGTCAAAAATCTGTGAAATGACATAACCTATTAATTGGAGAGTTTCTGCCAACGTTTATTCGACAATGTGGGATGTGAAAACATCCTCGATTGTATACACGACGTCCGACCCAAGGAACTTGTATGGACAACAGGTATAACACTGAACAAGAAATAATGTTCAACAATAGGTTAAGAGGCAACTTTCTGGTATTTGCTGTAAATGTTATACAAAAAGTTGTTGAAAGAAATAGGTAGTTGTGCTGCATCATCCGGGTTACCAATAATCCGTTTACTTCAGTACATATACGTAAGTTATTTAATACCGTTGACGACTAAGTCGGGAAATTGGCTAGAAAATATATTAAAAAAAAAAAAAAACCCGCTCGTATACAAGAAATCATCGTTTGCCTTTGACTTAAGTTGACGGCGTGTGTCAGACATAGAAGAGATTACCTACTAGCCTGTTGAAATTAAACGAATGACAACAGATACAGAGATCTGAGACCAAGGGTTGTAACGGGGGCCTCATAGCCTAGCGGTCTTATTAAGTGGCAGCTAGGTGAGGGGTACCGGGTTCGATTCCCGGTTCAAGGGCAAGTTTTAATTTAATTTAATTTTTTTCTCGGCCTTTGGGAGGGTTGTGCGGTACCGGGCGAGTGCCTAAACCGTACATGGAGGACATTGTCGAATTTCTAAGGCAAACAGCACGAATTATAAAAATCTTATATATTTTCAATATTTTATTACCAAAAATAAGGAAATACATTATTTTTCTTTATTATCTTTCTAAATACATCCTATAAAATGGATACGAATATGTTTCCTTATCAGACAACAATCATCAAGCATCTCTATATTGTCAATCCTTTTGCACTAAAGTACTATTTCGTCTCCTGGCAAGTTGGGTTGGAAAGAACCGGACGGGTACTTGACGGTTAGACCTATCTATCCAAGTCTTTATGGTTATATATATATAGTTATGTAAACTAGATTTTTTGATGTTTCTAAACATGACTGAAACCTCACATATATCAAAGGAAGAAAAAACATCTTATTTAACTTTAAAAAATAAATGTAACAAAAATCCCAATCGCACCTAAACAATTGAATGAATCCATTATTACAAAACTAAGAATAAGAAAATTGAATTGTAATATAATGTGTTGCAATGTGACATAGAATATAAAAAATATATCAAACTAACAACATGATAAATAATGACTGACAATTCTTTATGAGTTTGACAGTGACAGCTGACGTGAAGTATCTTCGCGTAATCATAATGTTTTTTTTTAAATTTATAACTTGTAGAATAAACACAATCTCAAACTCCAACACTAAAAATTTTCAATTTAAAAACACTCCAATCTCGCGCGTGAACAATAATTTCAAATTATCAAAAACTTTTCTACAACTCTACAATATTGTTCCAACTTGAATAACGTGAATAACGTGAATAAGTCTTAACTCGAAACGCAATTTGCGAATGGCTGTGATGGTTTTACAATCTCAAACTTCGCCTTTAGGTGTCTATAATCGGAATCGGTGTTATGTGGAAATAGCGATGGATCGCAGATAGCGGTCGCGTGCGCTGGGGCCGTTAATCTCGACCGCTATACAAACAGAATTTTCAATTTCAAATTGTGCTATTGTACTTTAAAATGGAATTCAGTTTAGAAGTTACACTATGAAAATAGTACTATTGATATTACCAAGTTGGATTCCCGGTGAAATAGTTTTTTATGTTATAATAGGCTGTTAAGTGCGTGCGTGTTGAAAGTTTAATTAAAATAATTGATTACACACATATTTATATAAAAGAAATACAAAGAAGCTATGAGTAACGAGCAACTCTGATTTTCAATGGACCCATACTATCTTGGATAGCAATATCCCAGGGGGTAAGGGATGTCCACCCCAAAAAAAAATTGTCATTATATTTTTTTATGATACTTTTAATTTTCACCTACGATCGATCCCCATTAGTGTAGTAGATAGTTATTTTATTGAACTAAAAAAAAATGTTTCCTAGAAATAATATACATGTCAAAACAACGTTTGCCGGGTCAGCTAGTTTGTATATAATATAGTTGCGCAAACAATAATAATTAATAAAAAAAAAAACCCAAGGGGAAAAAAGCGGGCGCGAAACGGCGAGTACTTTATATATACAAAGTAACATTCGCTTGTACGAAGTAACTTACACGTAGCTTTGACCCTAGTTGCACGGCCTGAGGCGGTTGATGCAAGGTGACGCTCGGCACCCGAAAGCTCCCCTCGGGAACAACTTCCGCCCGCCACAGCCTTTACACCATCGGGCTGTGAGGACCAACATCGACTTTGACTTGAGCAAGGTATTAATAATATTATTATGTTATTTACAGCCTTATGTTATATATAGCGTTATGTTATATGAGGAGTTAAAGCATGGAAGTTGAAGAAAGATTTTATGATCATAACGAGAAGTTTACTACTATTAACTATTTTTAAGACATCCTTCTATTGTCTTAATGTATAAAGGTTACTACACAGTCAATGACTACCTAGAAGATAAACACGCTTGGCAATAGTTCTAATTATATTCTTATAATTTGATTTGAATATGTGTGTAATGGTGAATGTGGTAAATCACAGAACAATTTTTTTTTGTTTTACTTATGTAACTTTAATGACGTTGTTGTTTATGACATTTTCCTTTGAATAATTGTAATGTAGAAGAAGGGTAAATTGCTGAGTTTCTTGCCCGTTCTTCTCAGAACAAGGCCTCCTGGTAGTTTTGCTAACGGATGGCGTAGTCTTGCTCTTTCGCGAATTTTGTAAACGTTTTTGACATTCATAAGCATGCCCTAAGACGCATCTAAATTGAATAAACGTATTTCGATTGATTGGATTGATTCCTATGGACATTATGTATAGAGTTTTGACTTTAAATTGTATTATAACTGCATAAAATTTACGAGATTTCGTTTTATTTTGTGGTATAAATGTTATTTTGTAATAATGCGTATGTAGTGGCGTTATTAGACCTGGCATTTCTGAATGGTTGATTGAAGTATTGTTTTTATAAACAAGTTATTAAGTTTATACTTAGCACAAGACTAACTTATTGGATTATTAATGTAAATGAAATTTTGACGCAACGCGCTCGTGAGCCCTCTGGCATTGAGAATGTCCATGGGCAGAGGATTGAATATCACTTATCATCAGGTGAGACTGGCCCATGTTAAAAATAAGAAAAATACTAAAATAAAGAAGGAAATTGTTATGTCTATTACGCGTATATAAATTACACGGAAAAATATATTGAAAGTTGGAGATTTACCGATTTTTTTTCATTTCAGTATCCTGGAAAGACGTGTCCCAGTATGAACAGAAATATGCATTATAAAGGTAATAACAATATTTTAACATTTAAAAATATAATTAAATGTTCACTGTTAAAGTGGCCTAGCGGCTACAGCCCTCATCCCCGGTCGCAAGTTCGATCCCGTGCATCAATGGACTTTTTATCGATGTGCGCATTTAACACTCGCTCGTACGGTGAAGGAAAGAATCGTGAGGAAACCAACCTTAGTGCCAGAAGTCGACGGTGTGTGTCAGACACAGATTGATCACCTATTGCGTATTAGAAATGATCACGAAACAGATACTGAACAGATCTTGGTATATTTATATTCCCTGTTAAATCAGCATTAATTTTAAGTAGTTTGGTACATCAAAAAGAAGAAATATCGATGGTAATTGTCTACGGAAAGAAGTATCCAAAACTGTTTATGTTTTAAATATGAAATTAAACATGTTTTTCTTTGTTTCAGCGAAAACTTGGACACAATATTAATAAAACTGTAGAAGACTTTGTATATTTTGTACAGACGTAACCTGCTTATGATAGATAATAATAATATAGTATGTATTATGTAGTTGATTTAGGAATTCCATAGATAATAGAAATGTAACGGCCTCTTAACGTAAGACATATTTTCGGATAGATTATTCAGCGCGTAATAGATAGTATTCAGTATTCCCAACTATGTATTGATTAAGAATAATGTAGCAAAACTTAAAAATGAATTTAGAAAATCATATCAATGTATAATTTGTAGATTAGTTTTATAAATCTATCGATTGTTAATGTTCCGGCTTCAAAAGTGTAATTTATTTAATTAAATAATAACTTCTAATGCCTTTGCTGGTTGTTTTAATAATGAAACCTTTGACTTAAAGTCCTCCAAGTGGGGCGGAGGGCATCCGGCGTAGAAAGCCTGATCGGTCTGGGCTAGCTTTATTTTACTCCACTGTCATTCCAGCTTCCTTCGCCTCTGCAATGTTGCTTCGCTACGAGATCTGTTTTTGGACACATTTCCTTTTGCCTTGAGGATCCCAGTCGAGGGCTTGCCTGGCAAAGTGACTTAGATTCCTCCGGAGCGTATGGAAATTGTATCCTCGAAATTGAAATTTAAATAGTCTGAACTACGAGTATAGCCAACTCAAATATGTTTTAAAGAGAGCAGTTCCTAACAATACATTTTAAATGATAGTCAAACATGTTGTTAAGGTAATCTAATATATAAAATTCTCGTGTCGCGGTGTTTGTAGTTTAACTCCTCCGAAACGGCTTGACCGATTCTCATGAAATATTGTGTGCATATTGGGTATGTCTGAGAATCGGACAACATCTATTTTTCATCCCCCTTAGTCCACCCCTAAATATTTTATTTTATTTTATGATACAGTATTAAAAAATACATACAACCACTAATTTCCACTCCTCTACGATCAACCCCTATTTTTTATTATAAATGATATACATGGCAAAACGACGTTTGCCAGGTCAGCTCGTAAAATATAAAATTGGAAGTGTAATATTTTTGTTTTATAATTTATTGTAACATTTATGTTAGCCATAATTGTCATGCATTTTAGAAATGATATATAAAAGATAACATATTGTACATATAATATGAAGTGGTGAACTTTAATAAATAAATAAGCAACCTGGCTTATTCGTATCCATAATGTATCCAGTCAGTAATCCAGTAAAAGATAATGCACGTAAGACTTACATAACATCTAATACGTTTCTGTCGCAATGGAGTGAAACAGTCTGTTAGTGTACCTTCCACTTGTGTTTGAATAAAAAGCTCATTTAAATTCTATGAGAATCGAAATTGTCCCGCTTTTCGCTGTAGTAACTTAATTTAACGAGTACTCGCGATGTCTTTTGGATTAGATATCAGAAAATTGCTGTTTGGCTGACGTTTCTCTGAATAACCTTTTACGATTCGACAATGTGGTCGTTTGCAGTTACTGACATGTTTTATACTTCTAATTGTAATATTTTTCAACAATCCTGTCCTATTCCATTGTCTACAAAATTTATTTATTTTGTCCATTCAATAAACAATAAAAACTTTATTCATGACAGAAATAGGTTGTGACAAAATTTTGCGCTCACCGTTTTTACGTTATTTTTCCATACAGTAGTTGCCTGAAAGAGATTGCTCTACAGCAATAAGGCCTCCCATTGCCCTCCTTATTTTCCTAGTGTAAACAAAAAAAAAATAAACATTACTATGAGATGTGGTTGCTCCATTAATATTAGGTACATCTGACCATAATTGAAGTTTGATTTTACCGCACCGAAGTCATGGCTAGGAATCTTTCGATATTAAGACGCTTACATTTGAATGCCGTTTTAACATAAAAACGCCGATTGTTGTAAGGATTCATGTTGCATATCTTTAAATAAAGAAAGTATATTTTCTTCTATACGATGAAACCATCTTACTATGCATATTACTGAGTACTATTTAAACTAATTATTCACGTGTGTTGAGAACGATAAATGCTCAATTCCTTTGCGTAATACAAGTTGAGTTAAAAGCATATCCATCGCAGCCTTAACCTCTCCGTCAATATAAGATTCAGAATATTTCGCGCGAACAATGGTTCAAGCGTGACAATATCCAATAGGTTTTCGACTTTTAAAAACATTAGAGATAAGAACCTCTTTACATAGGACAAAATTTCTGAACAGTCAACTTATTAACACACAGGTGTTTATAGAAAAAAAACTAAGGTAATAAACTTCTAATTAAGATCTATAAATCGCTCGATTTTCCACGCCGGAAAACTCGACCCCGCGTTATTGGAAAAGTTTCCTTTCGATCTACCTTAATAGACTTACACAAATTGAGTTCATTAAAAATTATTTTATCTAGCCGCGTTTATTATATTTAAAAGTTGCTGAACGGAAGTTGCAAATACGATAAGCTTTCATTTGTAATATTTAATGTACTTAGCAAAGAATGTTTACGTTTCACTGAACAAATTAACGATCAATATGATTTTATAAGCACTTTATACACAATTAAACACCATTATTGTTTTTTTAAAAACAATAGGGACTATAAACAATTTTTTAAACCAGTACGGACGACGGTACGTACTAAGACCGTTTGTACGTAAGAGAGTAGTAATTATAGTTTAGGTAGTGAGGTAGGCTTTGCTTTATTAAAATTTTAACATGAAGGAAGCAAGATTTTATAAAAATAGTTCCCTTACAATCACACTGTATGACCTAACCAGGAAAACGTAACGTTAACGTTAACGTAATGTTTATTTTAAGCTAAGCAAAGAATACTTTTTTACGTTTCACTGAACAAATTAATTTATAAAAATAAAACACCATTATTGTTTTTTAAAAAACAAAAGGGACTATATACTATATACAATTTTTAAAACCAGTACGGACGACGGTAGGTACTAAGACCGTCCGTACGTAAGATAAGTAGTAATTATAGTATAAGTTTGCTTTATTAAAATTTTAATATGAAGAAAGCAAGATTTTATATAAATAGTTCCCTTACAATCACACTGTATGTAGCCAGGAAAACTTAGCTATAATCTAAGCGTACCAAAAATGAAACCTCAAAAATTACACTTGCAGCAGTTGGTTATGACAAGTGTATAGGAGGGATTGAATAATTTATGAGTGCAACTTCGGGCCACGGCCGAAGTACATATATCAAACAGTCAAAGCTACAACTTCAATAAAACTTCGGCGAAACTTATTCAAACGCGTCGGCCGGTGAAAGCTGTTTTTAACTTCTTTCCTCGAGGGTACAAATAAAGAGTTAGGCTGAGGTGAAATTCTTTTCAAATATTTTTTGAGTTGGCAACTCTTGATGCCAGCGCCAGATCTCTTTGTCATGTGAAGTTTCAAAGTTTTATAGACTCATAATTTATGTATTGCTTTTAGTTTTATCGTATATTATATATTTGAAATATCTTATCTTTTGACATATACAGCGTGGTAAGATTTTTGGAGTGCTGCTGGGACTGATGATGCTAAAATTAATTGAGAATGGTTGCTGGTGCGCGAACTGATCTACGCAACCAGACGGAAAAGTGCGGCCGTAGATCTCAGAGGCATTTTAAAGGGAATTTTTATAAGGCACGTATTCTTATATTTTATTAAGTAATAAACATAGCCAAAAATACGAACATAGTTTTAAATACTGTTACGATTGTATCAACCTTACCTAATAAAACCTTTCTATAATTATATGGAAATAAATGTATTTTTATCATGGATGTTTAGTTTCCATCTCGCATACCTGACTTATCCTTAAAGTTACAGTGTTTTATGTACTTTTATCCTATATGATACACTGGTATACAATTTTATTTCTAAATAAATAAACATTAAGGTAATTTCTAAGTCTCTTTATAACATTTCCAATAATAAAGTTTTGGACCGTTTTTCGTTCCGTTCAAGAACTAAAAAACAGATAGATAACTTTATCCAAAATATTAAACACGATTATCAATCAACGATAAGAGTAGGTTAAATAGGATAGCGTATAAATATATATATATTTACATATATATATAAAATACGATACGAGCTAGGACATTCATAGTTGCTCCCTCACACTTTGAAATAAATTTTCCTTTAGTATAATTTATGAATCGAAGTATTTTCTCTTCTTGTTTATGTTTGCCTATAAGTGCTTGTCACATTAAATCTTGTATTTTTTTACCAATGTATCAGTGTGGCGAGCGTTGGCTTTGTAAATAAAAAAGGATTCTTAAATAATTCAAGTAAAGTATTACGTCACGCAATTTTTGGACATTATTTGGAACCCCCAAAGTAACGCGTCGTAACGTTTTTCTGTACCCAAGTATAGTAAAACGTTAAAGTTACCACTATGTGGTGTAAAATACTGCAAAGTCTAAAATAATATTAAGAATAACGCGTAATTCAATCCTCGCCCCGCATCGTCACGTTTAACAAAGCGACCCCCCCCCAAAATTCGTTACGTTATACTTGAACGTTCCCTAAGCTTTAAGCTTTTTAAATCTATTTCGTACAAACCCTCAACACAACTTTGTGGAAGCAGTCGTTTTAAATGCCGACGACATATCTAACAGATTGTAAGCACGCCTCCAAACGATGCACAATCTCTGTCACTCAATGAATATATAACGCAAATAAACCCGACACTCAAGTACATTGAAGCTCACACTCGTACTCGAGTGAGCACTCAAGTCGCGCCCCTCTTCACAAGTGTTTAGCAGACTTTATAAACATCTTCACATTCGCCTACAAATCACCCAAAATTTATTATATTCCCCTATTTTTATTGGATATTTCAAGTGTACGAAAAAGGTGTTTTTAAATGGTGTAAATTTTGTACAGGATTTTAGGCTGTACCAGACCATAATCATATTCATTAAAATCTGATGGACAAATACTTTTTTGCAAGCCTTCGCCCACACGTTTATATTTTTTTAAATTCAATTTTTTTACCAAGGATTTTTAAACGAAGTCAC